AAAATTTGATTCTCTATAAAACTTGAAAAAAAGCTTTAAGCAGACCTGTAACACTCCCAATCTTATTAGGCAAGACTTTTCCCACTCCCTAGCAAAAAAGCTTTTGATACTTAGTCGTCTTGAGGAAAGTAACAGTAAAATTAAACTAATGCGATTCTCCCTTTTTCTTCGAGCACTCCTTATGCCCCTAATTTGCATTTTCTCTGGTATTATTCCCATGAAAGGCAACGCAGAATGGTGGATTTACAAGGGAAATACGTGAAACACAGGTAGATAAATCATAAGAATAGATTTCGTTGAAAACGTATATACTGAAAGGTAGAGCCTTGAAGAGAGGAGACGAGAAGAGCAAGAAGAGAGAGGTTGAATATCAGAGATGTGCTGGGTGAGTGGGTGGATGACACGCCTACCTAACGCGACTGCGGCGGAACGCGGCCAGAGATAGTTGCTTACCCTAGTAAATAATGCAAGCCGGGGGTAATGGCGCTATCTCTGCGCATCTTTTATTAAACGTTCACATCGCCGCCTCTATTGCCTCTTCATCCCCTTGAAACAAGCACTCGCGGGCCACTCCGTCTCCGTCTACGTTAGTCTCTGTGTCTGTCTATTTACCCTACCTACGGATACTTATAACGAGCCAGTGTGTATTTCCACCACAATATACATCTTGCTTCATTTTCTTCCTTTAAATCGAGAATCATACACCTACACCAACATCTCTTTCTCCCTTCACCCAGTATCCAGTTCCTATGCCCCTCATTGTTGTCCTCGATTGCTCTCTTATACGATGCGCAACGCGCGATTTTCGCCACGTTCCATTGTTCCATCGTCAACCAGATTATCCGGATTATCGATAACACACCCCAAGAGACTCCTATATACTTTTCTTTCCTGCTCGTTCCTCCCATCCCTCCCAGTTTCCTACCATTCACTTCAGTCCCTTCCTCCTTTCCACCTTCACTTGTTTTTGTTCCCGTGTATTTTGTATCGACCAATGTTTGTTATTTTTTACTCGCTGTTTTATTTCCATTCTACGCTAACAACTATTTTTTATACTTCTGATCATACTTTCAAACCACAGGTTCATTTTTTACAAATGGAACCTCCACTGATGCTTGATTCTCTGATGCAGATGGCTAACATGACAATAATTAGCATAACTATTGGTAACATCCTGAGCTGGCTGCTTATTAGCATTCATCGATGCTGTCCTAATTCATCTTTACCAATCGTTGTCTTCACCTCAATAACATCGGACAGCTACATGTGATTATAATGGTAATGTCTGTGTTATATCAGCATTTATAGCAGCAATTATATTTAAAGTGTTTGGGTCAGACAGAAAGCATGTATATACGTTTATACTGAGGGACAGAGGGTAAATGCGTTGAAATCAATGCTTCTGTTTGCACTGTTGAGGTTGAGCGAAATTCCAGTTTACGAAGGCCAGAGAACGACAGAGAGGCATGTCTCCCTCGATCTATCGTCGGGTGTGTCCACACGTGCACGTATATATATTTATATATATATAATCATCGTTTGCGGGGATCAGTTAAGGCCTGTTGTACGATACAATAAAACGTAAGGGTGGTTTTTATTTTTTCATTCAGTGAAAACACGTCCCCTTCAATTATAATCAAATTGATACCAATATGTATAATCAGGAAGCGTAAACACTGTTCACTTAATCTTTATTTTGACTGTATATTTTGATGATTAACTTGAGATTACGATAATTCTGATTATGATTATGAGAATGATAGATAGGATAACTTTATGTAGATGTGACGATGACTTTATCGGATTCGTTCACGCTCAAGAAAATACAATCGTGTTATATTCAAAGGATTTACTAAGTCGAAACGTATCATTTGATATTAGGTTGCTTTGGTTTGGAGTATATGGAATCAAGAGAATGAATAACTGGAAGGAGACTGGAGAGTATAGCACGGCATAGAAAGATAACCTAGGGCCTCACTCCATGACCCGGTCCATCGATCGATCTTCAGCTCCTTTTGTTCAGCTGGTATCCGATTTGACTGGAGATCTTCTATCCTCTATGGACAGTTGGAGATACATATAGTGAGCATCATTGGAAGGAATTGGATCATCTTACTGGTGATCGATACTTCAGCTTAGATAAGTTCTGGTTGAGATTGTATCGGTTTGATTTTGTTTGGAAAAGGACACTGGCTTAATAAATTAAGGTTTCTAGAAGTTTCATTAGTATTCTAGCTTCTAAACGGAAAGGAATGGAAGAAGTGAAAATATCTTTTTCCAGGAAATAGAGTTATTCTAATTATGTTAGGTAATTTAATAGAAATTACAATCCGTTTTGCAGAATGGCTCGGGCGAATAAGAAACGGGACGCAACTATTAAAGCTATTACACGCTCAACTGCACTTTCGTAACAGTGGCGTGTGAAAATAGAACACCCTCTAACTTAAATTCCGATCTTTTAGCGTCAACTTTAGTTAGTTATACATTAAGAAAAGGAGTTTCAGGGCAACTTTAAGTCAGAACTTCACAGTCTACATGATAACTCTGAATCATTTGATGGCTTGACTTTTCCAATTACTTCAATCTTATACTAATTGTAAAAGACGGATCAAGAGTTTCTAAATTGTGAGAGTGAGTCTGAATTAAAACAGTAATGCTTGTCTGCTAGCACTTTTTTAAAAACAGGAAATATACTTGCTAGTGAAAACAGAGACTAAGATCCTCGAAATCGTGTGACGTTAGGGCAAACAGCGTACGAGGGGCAGACGACAGAGTTGGTTATTTCACGGTCCACTCGCTCTGCAACTCACACCCAGGGAGAATACTTGACGGAAATCGGCCCCTTCCCAAATCCAGTCCCCGCTCTAAGAATTAATTCGAGAGAATCGTCCAGCAAGCCCGACAGCACCTATACCCTAACTCCTAACTCTCTTTTGTCATTTGTTTAGCTTCCTTTCTCTCTGAAGAAGCTTTGCTTAATCTTTTATTTTCAACCTTTTTACATCGATACACAGCCTTTTGTTTCCAACTCGAAGCATTCTTCAGCTGTGTCAATCCACATTCACCTAACTTCTGATAACGCGGTTGGTTTGGCACCACTCGGGATCTTAGAGACCTTTGAGCACCGAAGTATGGGAGAGTCTTCCTCTCTCTCCTCTGCGATATTGTGGATTGAGATAAAACGAAAGGTCGAAGGCTAATCTCCTTGACGTTGGATTCGTTGAGAAAGGAAAAGACTGAGAAGTTATAAAGAGGATCGTATTTCGTAGGACGGATACTGCCATTATATATATATATATATATACATATATTTATTTATATAGAGCTGAGAGGCTGAGGGTCGCCGAAGGCACTTCAAGAGGGGTGTCAATGTTTCCTTGAACTAAACTTTATGGGTAAGTTCAGTTTCAGGTCGGATAATCAGTTTTAGAGATTTGATATCTCTGGTTAAATTACTAGGTTGCTTCCCGTGAAATTAATGTTGTTGGATTAAGGGGATTTATCGAATCATATTACAAGTTATTTCGTGTCATGGTTCAAGGTAATTCAATGATTTGATGTTACTTTGCCCCATGATTTATTAAAAAAAGAGCTTACGGATTGCAGTTTTGAAAATCTACTTTCCAGAATTTATCTTTTCGCAAAAGTATAAATGCATTTGTAATTAGCGGAGCTTTGAATTCACTGATAGCGATGATGAGTTTGCGAAGACAGATGTGACAAACAAATGTATAAACAGCGTTCACAGAAACGTATGTATCTAATTTAATCATCAAAGCTACGAGGACAATTTTCCATTAATTTGCCATGGCCGCTTTGGGCTGTTAATACAGACCAGCGATTGTGAATCGCGAGCGAAGCATAAAGGCCGTGATGGCTAAGGGGTTCGAGAAACCTCAAAGCAAAAAATGAATTCATTACCATCGTACGATTCGGTTTAAACTCTCCTAATTATCCTCTTTTTATGTAAGAAACTTATTAAAGACTAAGATTAATTTACGTTTCAATGGTTTTGTGGAAAAATATTTAATATCGTACATGCTATGCAGGCTTTCGGGAGTTTAAAAAAACAGTGGGCTTCAGGATTGGTTGCTTAGTTAAACATTTATCAGATATACATGCTAAATTATTTACAAGCATAACATAATAGCATTTATTTTACATTTGTCAATAATTGTTATCTTTTTATTCATTCACATCCACATTCACATCTTATAGTACCTTAAACCTATATTTAATCTCTTAATTATCACACTTGTACATAATTATAATTAATAGTAATTTTTGCACATCATCATTACAATAATAATCATCGTCGAAGACTTTTAAGTGTCTTGTTATTGCATATTCTCTAAAAAAACTGGTCTCATTTTCTGTTTACAATTGATTCAGTTTAGCACCGCTAGGTGACAACTTTTCTCGCACGTTTCTGGATGCTACTGTAGTTGATAAATTACAGTACAAATTTTATGTTATTAAATTGATTCTGACACGTGGATGAAAAGAGTCGAGAAAGAGGATATGGATTTTTAGAAAATACACAATTGGATTAGTTGCTCTTCTCAATGTACAATCACACACGGTATACAAGACTTTGGCATCATTAATTAATTACAAATCCTCGGTTAATCAGGTCACTGCCCTAACGCATGTGCGATACATGCATAAACTCACACATGCACACGTATAGTACAGTTACACACACGATTGTATAGTCGGAATCGTAGGTAATCAGGGAGCATTAACGGAAATGTTTGGATTACAATGTCGAGTGTCGGGCAGAAAGCCAGGTACCAAATGTCACTTTGTCGCTTTGTCATTGACAAATTTGTCGAGCAAGAGACGATATTGTGCGGACAGTGATTCAACTGATTGTAAATAAAATAGTGTCATACGGATAGAAAATTGAATAGACAAAATCGAGGTCTAATTAAACAATTTGTAAAGGGAACTCGTTACTATTATTAGGACGAGATTAAACCAAGTTGCGTGACCGCTCGCTACGCGTGTGAGTGCGCGTGTGTGTGTAGATGGTGTGACGACAATGACAGACCTACGCTGGAGGTAGTTGCTGCTGATGATGCGCTTATCGACGTTGGTGCTGTAACCGCGGGTGACCCAGTCAAGTGATGTCCAAAAAATGTCGGCGAAGATCCGTAAGGTGGAGCTGGGTGGTGATAGTAACCTGGAGGCGGTGGTGGAGGAGGAGCATGATGCACGTGAGAGTGCGGATGCTGATGAGGATGCGTATGAGCGTGAGGATGGGCATGTGGATGGGCAGCGAACAGGAATGCTGGAGCGTAGGGGGAAGGGTGAGGCGGAGTAGTTGGCACAGTTGGGCTGTTGACATCTAGACCAGGATTCTGCTTTTTCCACTTGGTACGCCGGTTCTGGAACCATATCTTCACCTGGGTCTCTGTCAGCGATAGTGATAAGGCCAAATTAAGCCGCTCACAGACAGAGAGGTACCTTGTTGTCTTGAACTTGTTCTCCAACGCCACTAACTGCTCGTACGTGAACGCAGTCCGTGCCCGACGGGGTTTTCCACCAGCAGATCCACCCGACGACCCGCCGTTTTGTGACGATCCACCTTGACAAGACGGATTCTGACCACCTGAAGATGACGATGATGAAGAAGATTGTCTCTTCTTGCTGCCGTTTGACCCCGTTGACGCCGTGTCTCGAGTCACGGTTGGTGTTCCGCGGTCATCGACTCCCTGCATATCAACGTCTTCATCGTCTTCATCATCTTCGTCGACTTCTTCCTCCATGTCTTCCACTTGGTCGAGCATGCTCTCGTCTTCTTGGCCGCTGCTGCACAATTCTCCCCTTGAGTCACCATCTGCAATGACAAGAATTTTGAGATAATTAACATGCACTCATCAGGAGATTGATTGTTATAGAACTTAGACGTAAAAAATGTTACAATGATCTGGAAAACACAGACGAGTAATCGTGGTTTTAAAAAATTAATGGTTAAGTTTTATTGGAAAACAGCTTGCAATGCTTAAGCAGCTGAGCCGGGAGAGCTTTGTGAAGTGATGAGAGACTGAAAGCGTGAGATACAGGACAGAGAGAGGAGGCTGAAAGATTGAGAGAGATGGAGATAATTGCGCCAGCGGCTAGTGTAGTTGAACGAACGAACGACCGGCCCGTTCGTCCGGCCAATCGTTCGCTCAATGAGAGAGACGAGATTGGAGATTCAATCAGCGCGCAGATGTCCCGGGGAGAGATATTCCCTGGCTCCAAACTCCGTACACAGTTAGTGGCCGTAATAGTATTAGTAGTAGTAGTAGAAGTAGTTGTAGTTGTAGTAGTTGCAGTGATAGTATAGACAGAAGGGGAAGTTTTGGTCCAGGACGATGGATCGTGCGACAGACTGAGTGAATAAGAGACAACGTCAGCCACAAAGTACGATCAGGACTATCCCCATCTATATACCTAGACTAGAGTATAACGAAACCGAGCGAGACAGAAATTTTATCCGAATTGACGTGGCTGTTCGTGGGCCACGCGCGAGAGAACGCGGCTTGCTGCTACTGCTACTGCAAGTCCATAGGGGGCGACGGATCGAGAAGCTTTACGCCGTAATGGGATTTGTATCTCGTTAACGCGCGATCGTTCTTCCAGATATATTCAGGTCTCTCTTCTTCTCATTGTCGGTGTATAGACCGTCCTTTTTTTCGTTCATTCTTTATACGAATTACTTTCACGGTAAAATATACCGTATATCGGTTTCCGTATTCCTGATAGTAAAAAAAGTATTACTAGTCCTCGAATAAAGGATCTTTAGAGGAGCTTTTTTCTACATACGTGCATGGATATCAGTGGGGACTCTATTTCAATTGATTCAACGTAATTTCCAATGCGTAATTCACATTCCCTTAGATATATCTTTTCAAGGATTTTACTTTCCAGGATCAAGAGAAAAGATTTCTTTTATCGACATGTGCTTTTACTGTTTTTAATTAAACTCCTCATCAAAGGTACCTGGTTTTATGTTAGTCAGAAAATCTTTACAAAAAACACCTGCTTATCAGTCTCATCCCGAGAGCTGTCCATGAAAAATAAAATAACAAATTCGAGTATCTATATGGCAAGAGCAACGAGTGCTTGACCACAAATATCACGGCAGGAAGAAGTCACGATCACGTACGTAAACTAGCAAAGAAAAATTTATTACCACAAAAAAAGATGGAACATAAGCGAAGAAAGGTTTGTCAGTGAGGTGAGCGAGCTTTTTTTATATATCTTTTCAACTTGGAATTTAAGGGTCCACTGGGGACCAGCAAATGTCGACGTTGGTGACCCTAAAAAAGTTTTCTGTGCTTCGGAGTGTTAGTGCTGTAAATCTATGTCTGTGTTATGCCTTACATTATCATCAGCTCGTGCAAATCGTTCAGCTTGAGTCGTACGAACGATTTATCTTCCTTGAGCACGGTGTGATTTGCTGTAACGAGCTCGTGCTTTTTTTCTCCCAATTTTCTTCGTTGGCCACTAAAATAACTGGTTATATTTAAATTTGCCTGACATTTAAGAATCCTGCGTAAATTTCACCGGAAAAGGTCAAAGTTTTTAACTTGTCTAATTTCTTTAGCAAGCACCATTATCGCCAGGTTAATCATGCCGAACGTTTTCTTCTTCGTTGTCTTGTTAATTAATTACCATGGTGACTTGTCAAAGACAAAAAAAATGATCTTTTACTGGTTCACACACGAAAAAAGCCCTCCTCTGTAAATTAAACAAGGAAGGGCTATTGATTTCCCCTGACCAATGTTGGGCGCCTTTTTTTTTCTCATTCGACCCTTGAGCTGAAAGCCTCGTAATTAGCTCTTTTTATTTCAACTAAATGGAAGACCTACTCAAGCTTCGGCTTCGATGTTTTCTGCTTCCTGACACGGAGCATGAAAGCTGTATAGAAATGATGGTAGTTTTCGCACGTTCAACAAATCTACCCTGGTTATCGGGTGAACGCTCGAGCTCAGATCGGAAGAATATGACGAAGACAAGCCAATGGGATGAGAAGAAAAACTTGCAGAGAGAGAAAAAGATAAAGCGAGTTTGAGGGTTGGAGGGTGTCATTGTGATGCAGAAGAGCCAATTTTCTGGGCGGCTTGGCGCGATGCGACGCGATGCCGTGCGATTATCATAACAACCGAGGATATTATTCCCTCGTCCGTGACGCGTGTGGGAGAGAGAGACAAGGTAAGGACGAAAATAAAATGTTACTAAATTTTCAGGGGGCTCATCACCGAATCCCTAAAAGAATTGTCCAATATCTGATGTATTTTTAATGATAATATAAAAGCTTGAGATATAATAGCACTAGTGGAATGTCCATCGTGATTGATCGACAACTGATTCTCCAATTTCGGAATCTCTGAAATCTTTTCAACGTGATCAATCTTCAGGCCTTGTAATACGTTTCTGCATCTGATGCTGAGGCTGTTTCGTTAAGATAATGCTGATGTTCTTTTGATAGTTATTCTTATTGGAACTTTGTTCCTTCTTTGGTTTTCGGACCCATCGCTCGAAAAATTATACGTAAGATTGATTCGACAATCGTGTCTTTACTTGAGTACTTGATGTCCCTCGCTGGGACTGGTGAACCCGATGATTACAGCGTTCAAAGACTGGTTAAGAGAGATTAGCACAGCTATTTGTCACGCTACGACAGTTTACCCCCATCTTACTAAACAACTTTGACAAGAGCTATTTAATCTCTGTTAGTATTGTGCTTTTGTTTTCGATGTACTTCTACAATTAAACATTCGATTGGGTGGATTTTCCATCACAAATATATCAATTAATTTATTTATATTTTTGATTAAATAAAAATAGCAAAGAGGTAACGTTTATAATAGCCGTTCAGAAGTTATACATTCGCTTTGTTTCTGGATGAAAAAATATCAAAATTGATGACGAATATTTTCGGTTATGTACCTCATACAGATGGAAATATGTCTGGCAGTGTGCGTGTTGTTAAATAAAACGCGCTTGCGAAGGTATATATCTGTTTCTGTCTGCCTCCAGCTTATTCGTTATGGCTAGTTGCTTCGGCAGACGGGTCGTTAATCATTGCTACCGTTTCATTGTACTTTTATGAGGCTCACATATTTTACTGTTAAATAAGGTTTTAATAAACATCAAATTTTTATCATAATTATTATTGATACTTTTATTTCAAAACGAAAAACAATCATCCCATTTGATACAATAAACAAATTGAATATTCAAGTGATGAATTCTCGACACCTAATTACTGACCAGTTTTAAATAACCCTGCGTTATTCGATAATCCCTACTCCTATAGCTGACACTTCAGCGACAAAAAATGAAACTCATATGGAGTCTAAATATAAGACAGGATGCCAATGTCTTCGACCGCACAAGCTGAGATTTACAAGAGCAACAAGGAAAGCCAAAGAAATAGAGCTAAAGAAATAAAGCTCTTACTCAGATGAGCCAGCTAAATAATTAGTGAGGGCTGTCTTCCCGTCGGACCAGCGTAAGAACTATTACCAGATTTCACACTCTCACACATAAAAATTTACAAGTCTTAGCGCTAATTGATGATAAATATTCTTCTTAATCGTAAAATAACGATTATCAATTCATTGATAAATAATTACCTTCATGCAAGCTCCCATTTCTCCGTCGTCTACGGTGTCCTCTATCATGAATTACCCTTCCGCCGGTAAATTTATGAGGGTCGAGGATATTTTCTACGGAGAACGCAAGTCCACGCTTGTTGTTTTGCACAGCAGCATTAGTACTCGTTAAACAATTGTTGCCACTAGCAACACTGTTACTCCCCGAAAGCGAACTAGAGAAATTTGTTCGTAATTGACTTCCAGCAGTGCAAATACCCGTAACCATAGATCCAGTAGCATGTCCAGTTGTTAGATAAGGCGCCATAGCAGTTGTTGTGTGGTTAACAACAACAATACCATTGGTATTTCCACCAACACTAATAACAGCACTATTATTGCCACCATTACCACTACCAATACCACAACCACCAGCACCACCAGTACCACCAGCACCACCACTAGACGGTAAGCACGATAACAATCCAATAGCTCGGTTCCCAAAAGGAATAAATTGTTCATTGACACTCATTGTTCTAGAGGAAGCCGTCAAATCAACTGGACTGCTGGGATTGCTTTCGGGATCGCGGCACACGTCCACCTCGACGTCTTCATCTTGATCGTAATTCCCGTTTTTCTCCGCTTCATCCTCCTCGTCTTCTTCATCATCATCAATCACTCCCCTTGACGACAGCCTCATTCTACTTGCAACATCGTCATTGTCAACATCATCAACCTCATTATCTTCTTCATCGTCCTGATTTAATGGATCCTTCTTTATGTCATCGATGTCCTCCTCCATTGCACTGCTCTTTGAGGCCGGGGATGCTATTGGCGAACCCGCCGGAGCACTTGTCTCCAGCATCTGCTGCTTAGAATGTTCGAACCTAACAACAAAGGGGTCACCAGTTTGCACGTGGAGCAGCAATCCACGTCGTTTTTCCCTTGGCACCACCGCTCGCAGATTCACTTCTTCAGGGTCTAGACATGTAATCGGACCCTCTGCATGTGGGGACAGCGTTCGCGGCTCCTGATGCATCCTCCACATCTTACATGGGGAGGAATCGTACTGACAGTTCTATCTCCTTGGAACTGACATCATCTTGCACTGAACGTAATTTGTGATCACTGAACGCTGACCAACACTTCTTCCACTTGCTCTTCGAAGTGTCGACTGATAGCTGGCACGCGTTACGCTGAAGCTTGTTAACGCTTACAGTTTTTGACACTATATCAACTTTTGATTCACTTACTTTTTAAGCACTGACAGTAACAGAATTAGTAGCAATTATGACGAAACAAATGAATGATAATCCATTTCATTAACGAATGCTTGCCACGAAAGATGTCAGGTTTTTCTTTACTACAAGTATCAGAGTAGTAACAAACAGACAACCAATAACTTTAGGTACTTAGCAGACGTAGTATCAGTCTTGGCAATGATTGTGCCGCGTATAGAGAGCCATGGTTCTGGAGTAGGTGCGTATATCTCGATAATATTATCCCAGTAATACTGTCGGGGTAGTAGTTGATACAGAGCGTCACTAAGTTGTGAGTTAGAGAAAGAGAGTAAGATAACACCGAGGCTGTTGGGGATGGTTGGTACGCCTCGGATGGGCGTGCCCAGATCCGAATGCTCCCAAAACTAATGGTAGACCGGCCAATCACAGCATCCGGATGTTTTCCCGGCTTCTCCGGACCACTGTTGAGAGTCTGCTCAGCATGGTAGTAGTCGGTGTCGCTGATTACTGGGAGTTGCGCGGTGTTCACAAAACTCAGATACCTGCTACATAATGTTACATTTGCTGATATACACTAGGTTATTATTCAAGTTATGACAGTACACTTGAATTGGTGGTAAATTCATCCAATTTTTCACGATTTTTGTCCTGCTCTTACGTCTCTACACTTTTGACCAACACCTCTGAATTTTCAGGGAAAACTAAGGCCAATGAGGCTCCGCTAAACTAATGGCTAATGAAGTATGCCGCTTTCATGATTTCCAAACTCTATAGCATGTTTTCTCGTGAGTACGCTGATGCTAATAGTGAAGGAACAAGGATACTGTTTGCTTTGCCATTTAGGTAATTGCCGTTTTACATCCGCCATTATTTTATCCTGTCCCTAGGCATATTTAGCTAAAACCAAACGCCAACGTTGATGAAGTTTATACCCAACGATACTCCTATGTACACACCTTCTCCTTACATCTTCTCCGAGCTTGTTTCGGCTCTTTAGCTCTTTATGTGTACTTACTTGAGCAAATATCTCCAGAGAGCGTGCTATCTATGAACGTTATGTACCGAATTTTTTTAAAGTACTAGAATTAAATTCAGTTATTATGCCACCACTTAGGCAGAATCTTGTAATTACTGATGACTTGATCAATAGTGTCGCATAGTTAAGCTTCTTTATCAGAAAATGAGAAATTTGAGACAAAAATATATTTTTTTAACTTCCCGCTAAAAAAATTAAAAATTTTTAAAAATTAGGAAGTTATTGGTTTTCACTCCATTTTCGATAATCGAGTTTTCATCAGATCTTGACGTTTTAAGGTCCTAGGAAGCTTCCCTGTCTATCCCCACGATGGTGTGTGTGTGTGTGTGTGTAAACCTCTTATAACTTTAGAGCGGCTCGACCGATTTGGTCGCGGTTGGCGTCATTCGAAAGGACATGATCAAACTTAGATTTTGAATACAATTTGGACCGATTCAGACTAGTAGGTTTTTGAGAAATCTGAAAAAAACTACGAAAAAAATTTTTTTCAAATGTAGTTTTTTTGGAATAACTTTTAAATGGCTTTACCGATCGATTCCAAAAAATAATCAGCTCTCAACATAAAAAAACTACGTCGATTGACGCTGAGTCGGTCAAAACCGGTTTATTCGTGTGTGAGTTGTCGTTGGCGAAAAAAATCGAAAAGAAAGCGATTTTTTCGAATTACTCCGAAATTTTCGGTCTGATTAATTTGTGTTTAAAAGTGAATCATATGATTTGAAAAACTGCGTTGAATACTGCCAACCGCGTGAAAATCGGTTAATTCATTCAAAAATAATTGCAGTTTAAAGATTTAAAGAATAGTGTTTTATTAAACTTCTACCAGACTTTTGAGCTCTTCGAGCTCAAAAGCATAGAACATCTAACTCTTTAGACTCGAAGAGCTCAAAATAACACATAAATTTTTTTTTTCAGCTCGAAGAGCTCAAAGACGTCATAAGTCTAATTTTAAGTGTTTAGGTATGAAATTAGCGGGAAGTTGCAGGGATGGCCTTTAATGTCAACCGTTTTCCTAATTTTTTCTTTCATTAATTTTGTTCATTTGATTATTATAACCGATCAGCAGCGATCAATTACAGTGATTCAATATTCGATCAAATTGATAATAATGATGACGGTAACAATGGAGTAAAAATGTGTTGATAGCGATGAATTGAATGTATGTATATTAATTGATTGATTAAAGATAAATAATAAATAACTGGTATTACGGCACGTGATTTAGTCAAACACTGCAGCAATTGAGTGTATTCAGTATGGATATACAGTTATAGTCCAATCAATTTAGCGAATGCCAGTGTAAAAGTTTAATAACTACGTGGTTATTTAGCAAGCCACCTCGACTAAACTCCAATTAAATGGCCTATCGATTAGATAATCCAACCGTACTATCGAGTTAGCTGCTACTGATGGTTATACAAACGATAAACTACTACGTTTATATCGTATATATACGTGTCTGTGAGAGCATAAATGGTTTAGTGTAACAGATGGGGGGGGGGGCAAGCAACGGGGCACTACGTCGTTGTCATCGTTCAGGGTGTAATGAGGCGCGAAATAAATTCCCCGTTCAAGTAGTCACTCTATGTGCAGCAAGAGTATGTAAGCATATAAGAATACTTTTGAACGTCTTTCCTATAAACCTGGTGTATTGACCAAGCTTTATCTACATGCATACACACATACATGACTGTGTATGGGGGGGGAGGTGGGAGGGATTCACGATACAGGCCATTGAGTTTTAGTTGAGCGAATAATTATCGGTATAAAACTTTTATTTAAACCATAAAAATTTTTTTACTGAGCAGAAAATTTTTTATTGCTAGAACTTTTGACTATTGACTACAGTTTTTTTTTTTCGGCAAAAGTTGGTCATATATAGGCACATATGATAACAGAAGATCGAATAAGTCATAGATATAGTCACATATACAATAGGAAAAGGTCATATATGAATACGTAATAACATGTGAGGTCAAACATATGGCCACATATGGTTATAAAAGATGCTACAAGGTCACGTAGAATTACATATAATCCCGTACAATCAAAGACGATAATTTATGATCACAAAAGACTATATATGATCGAATAAAATCATACATGATTACACATAATCATATACGATTACACATATTGTCACATATGATTATTTGTGATCACACATGTTCACAAAAGATCATATATAGTCACATATATGGTCAAATAGATCCTGTTTTTACTACATTTTTAATTTTTCACTATGTAAATCAATGATTTTCAAAAAATCGGGAAGTTATTGGTTTCATCCCGATTTTCGAAAATCGAGTTCTTATCAGATCTTCACGTTTTGAGGTCCTAGGAAGCTTCCCTGACTATCCCGACGAAGATGTCTTTTCGTATGTATGTGTGAATTTGTGTGTGTGTGTGTGTGTGTGTGTGTGTGTGTGTGTGTGTGTAAACTCCTTGTAACTTTTGAACGGCTCAACTGATTGAAACTAGGTTGGCGGCATTCGAAAGAGTTCCTTTGCCATTAGATTTCACGTGAATCTCAAAAATAAAATTAGAAAAAAAAAGTTTTTTTGAGATAACTTTTTAACTAATGTATCGATCAATTCCAAAAACCTATCAGCTCTTAAGCTTTAAAAACAACATTGATTGCCGCCAACCGCTTCAAGAGCGGTTAATTCGTTCGAATGATATTTAATTTTTAAAAATTCCCAAAAGTGTTTTTTAAAATAACTTTAAAATTTAACTTTGAATCGTTTGGTAGGTAATAAATAATTTTTTTGCACTAAAAAAACAGCGTAGAATGCTGCAAGTTTCATCAAAAACGTTTGAATCGATTGGACGATATTGCAATTAAAAATTTTTAAAAAGTATATTGTTAAGAACCACTCGATTTTCGAGTTCGGAAATGTGTTGAAGTTGTGTTTTTGAGCTCGAAGAGCTTTAAAGTTCAGAATAGATAATTTCACGATCGTTTTTAACTCGTACATAGCGGGAAGTTCTAGGGATGGCCTGCAGGGTTAACCGTTTTTCAGACGTTTTTGTCTATACTTACAAAATGCTACACTGATAGAAACAAATACTATTATTAAAAAAAATTTTTGAACCCAAGAACATATATTCACAATCATTATCATTAAGAATATACTTTCTTGTTAGAAAATTTGTCTACTTAATGGAAATAATTTTGATTTAATTTAACTAAAGCTATTTGTTTGTTTATCCATAATAATAGAGGCTATTTTTTCAATTAAAACAGATATTGATATTCCCTTTATCAAAAAATTAACAAATTTAAATGGTTTGTTTCAAAAAATTCTCGAGCCAAGATATTCGTGTCTGGACAGTTATTTTTTTTTCTCTCAGTGTATAATCAGTATCTTTTTATTGCTAAAAAACTTGCATTAACTTTTAACAGGTTTTGCGTTTCGCATTTTACATAATGTTACTTAGAAAATAGTTATTTCCAACTTGTACTTAAAGTTTTACTTCAAAAAACTTTCATATACTTAGCCTCAAAAATAAATTTGTAGTATAGTATACAACTCAATTATATTTTACTGCTTGTTTATTTACAAAAAACAACTTCTTAGATAATTAATTCTCTAAAAATCTAATTATTCAGATATCAAACAGATTTTCTCTCATCAGTACTCTTCATACACATTCTCATATCCATCCAACCTATAAATATAAACATAACTACATTAGAAATCTCGTCTCATATCACACACGTCGACAAACTCAATTTCCTCTAGTCACACATAATTTATAATGATTTTT